AATCTGCGACTCCCTATTGCGTGCGTTCAGTAAACTAACCGGGCGTGATCAACACTTGTTAACGCGCGCGTTTAGTATTGGCTCTAGGTTTTCACTGGTAGATGGAATATACTAGAATGATGGTTTCAGTAGAGATATTCATTATGTAAGAAAGTTCTAAGCTACAGTTCACTTGTTTCATTGCCTCGTCTGCTCGGAAAAGCATGCGTTACGTCTCGCTAATTGCGTTGGCCTTTTTGCTGGCGAAAGTTGGCGACGCAAATTGCCAATGTGATTGTCCTGAAGCAGGTAAGTTTCATGAATGCCTTTAAATTCCTTTTTCATCCAGTACCCGTAAAATTTCGAGCTCAGAAGTACTAGTAACACGTGTTCGCAACTTATAGTTACTTTTTTTGCATAAGAGCGACCTCAACTGATATATTCATCGAGGCAAATTGTATCCTTCTGAGGCAACCTAATGGAAGATCTTGACTATTAATCATATTTTTCGGTAATACGTCAGGGGTACCCAACGACAATTTTCGGAAAATATCTGTTCGGAAGACGATTTGAGATCTAGAATTTTCGGAACATTTGTTTAAAATATCTTGCTTGCCTGCCTCTCCTAGGATTTTCGAACATTTTAAAAAAGGTATAATTGCCTATTTTTAACGGATTTTTACCCTAAAAAGGTCACCTAGGATTTTCTGGAGCCTTTTTTACAGGCTGGAATTTTCGAAAAGGTAGGTTTTGATCCCTATAATTTTTGGGTCACTAGACTTTCAGCTAGGAAATCCGAACAGATGAAAAATTTTTAGGGGATAAAAATATGCCTATATCTACCGTTTAAATACTAAAATACCTTTAAAAATGCTATGTTTGAGTGGTTTTGAACTATATTCTCGTTGGGTGCCTCTGGTACGTTTAACTGCTTGAACAGCTGAGTTAATCATTAGTTATAAAAACTCTCTTTCAAAATCACTCATTCAATCATTTTCGCTCGTTTAATATTCTCACCAAATCATTGGTATTTCCTATGAGGTTTTAAATTTAAACGTGTATAGCTCGCCATCATTTTTGGATTTTGCATTTTTAAAATATCCCCTCTTATTGCAAATTTTAGAAATAATCGAAATGCTAATTTTTAATTCAATAGATGCTTTAGTCAAACTATCGAAAATTTGTTTTTCTTTCGTTCCAATATTTTTTGAAATAATTGATTTATTATTGGATTTATTTTGATTTTCTTTTGGTGTGAGAAGTTGTAAAGTTTTGATTTTATTATTTGTCTTAGAATTATCTTTATGATCTATCTGTAATCCTTTTGGTTTTAAACCATTAAAACACTCCCAAACAAATCGGTGAATTTTCCATCATATATGTAAACTTGGCAATGACCACTTTTACAATTTATTCCTGGTTTCAATTCTCTTTTGGTTTTAGTGTTGATTATTTCTCCTGATTTTGACGCGGCATAATTTTGAAACAGGGGATGGACGTAGTATTTAGTTGTAATCTTTACTGTTTTCTTTTCGGGGCATACAGTTTCCATACATATTAAATGATTGCAAATCCTTAAATTATAATTCAATTTTATTTTTTCTGAAAAAAATGTATATTTAGTAATTAAATATGATTTGATGCGAATTACATTATTTGAATGCGCGTGGGAATGATTGAATGAGTGATTTTGAAAGAGAGTTTTTATAACTACTATCATCACATCTATGGCGTCGTTGACTTCAATCATCAATCATCTGAATAATTTTATTGGCAGTTTATAGATTTATATATTTATATATTTGGCACGTACTCTGACACAATTTCGGAAACTATGATAATAAAAAAAGAAGTCATTAACCTATTAAGATGTTCTTAAATTAAGGCCTCTATAAGAAAAGGGATTTTTTTGATGTGAAAGGCTGATGGAAACCACAGAAGAAAAAAAAACCCTGAAACTGGCAAAGGTAGCGCTCAGTTGGATAGCTAGGGCTCGAAGAGTCATCCTAACTTTTAAATCTAAATACAGTGGCCAATTTAATTGGTAATCAATTCGGCTTAAAAGTAACAAAATTATTAAAATAATCATGTGTTAGGTTGGAAAATAGAGCTAATCATCATAAAATATAAAATAGGCTCAGCGGAAGTGAAAATCAAACATGAAAAAATGACAACTGGCTTGACGGTGGGTCACAGCTCAATGAACCTCAACTATACGTCAAATCTTCTTGTCTATTAAGAGCTTAACATCTTTTCATTGTTTATTAAAAAAAAATTGACTATTTTTTTAAACCTAAGTTTCTGATGAACAAAGTTGTCATTTAGACAGCGCATTCACAGAAAGGAACTCACCTCGCAGTGAAGGATGAAGCAAAAACCACTAGTTGCGAGGTTAGGGTTGACGAATTATTAAAATTCCCTCTTCGGTCTAAATGCAAATGCATAAACGTACTGTGTTTCAAAATAAAGTAAAGTGTAACAGGGCAAAATTTTCTTCATAACTTATCGTCAAATAGTGATATGGTAGGAACTAGATTTACTCGAATAAATGCCGCACCCAATTAGAACGAGGTGTTGTTTATTCTAGGGTAATATGAAAAAAACCAAGCTAGGTACAACTTTTAAGTCTTCATAGTCTGTCACCATCCAGACAATTAATACGATTCTATCCCAGCAAAAAAGCGAGACAAAGGAACTCTTAACATTTTTCTGTTGTGCCCTGAAGAGTCTCTCTTGGTTTTGGATAATACAGTACAACCCTGGTAACTCGAGTTCTGAAGGGAAACGAAAAACGGTTCGAGTTAGCGATGGTTCGAGTAAGCGGAGTAGATTGAATCTTCAATATCTCATGTTACTATTGAATGTTTGCTGATATTTCAGCACTTCATTACACAGCAGATTGCCAATTAAACTTATCTCATCAGAAATTGCAACGCGATTATGCATCTCTATGATCATGATAATACAGTCGGGAAATGACTGTCAAATACGTGCCCCGTTCGTTGTAGTTGCTAAAAAAAAGTGCTGTAGTGTTAGTTTTAGGGATTTTACCGATTGCACGACAAGGAAAAGATAATGGGATGGCATCCTTAGTCAGTTCCAAGAACCAGGATTCGAGCTCAGGGATCGAGGTAAAGTTTGATCAAAGGAAACGAAATTTAGTTCGAGTCAGCGGGGAGTACGAGATATATGAGTTCGAGTTGTCCAAAAAAAAGAACGTGACTGAAAAGGAGGGTCTAATCCAAGGGAAGTGGGGCTTAGTTGGACGGTTAGCGGGGAGTTTGCGTTATCCGAGTTCGAGTTACCCGAGTCTAACTGTATTTACAAATGATTGACTCTACGTCTAATTTTAATATCAGTAATTTTAAAAATGGATTTTTGAAATAAATGCCGTCCCCAAAAAACGCCGCGAAGTTTTATCGAAAAATTACGGCATACCAGGCTCTTTTAATTTGCAAGTGGTTCAATTTTTAAAATCATTGACTTCCTGTCTTTTTGGGGCCAATTACGTCATTCGCCGACAGAGTGAGATCTTATAAATTGTGTCGATTTCCTCCAATACCCGAGTTAAAAAACGAACCAAAAGGAGACTTGAATACAAGTCCAATTAAAGGCTTTTCATCGAAAATAGAAGAAGTGCTAGCCCTAGCTTTCAATAAGAGCGTCAAGGAGGGAAAAATACACTGAAAATAAAGAAAGGCGGGATTTTCCGAAGTGTTTCGTGTTCGGTACGGACACGTCCTTATGAAGTCAATTGTTTCCAACTTGCTTGAATTTTGATAAGTTTCATCGGTGGATTTACGCGGCATAGTTAATCGAACGAAACCGAACCAAAAATCAGCCTTTATCCATCGCTTCCAGAATTGTAGTTTTACGCTGGGTTTCACTCTTTCCGCTCTCTCCCGGCAACATCTTACCTTTGTTCTCGTGTTTAAAATTTAAGCTAACACATAACTTACTTGTTAACCGCAACGACTTGTGTGAAACTAAATGAAACTTGTTCTGTGTTTAGTTGTTGTTGAAACTTCGATTTTTGAATGTTCCATTATATATATGGTCCATTGATTGTGTTCCACTGGTAAAAGTTTTAAGTAAGTTCGATTATGTTTGATTACCGAACCCAATAGAAGTCAATCGAACGATTGGAGTTTGATTGGGTCGATTACCCAACGTTCGATTGACTACGCCGCAATTTACCACGATATGGTGTCTAGATCAGATGCGCCGCTTCAGTAAGCGGCGCATCAAGACTGACGATTCGAGAAGACTCGAGAAAAGCGCAATGAAAGTCAGCACAAATTCGCGTAGATCACCGTTTCAATAAATTGGACTTCTGTGCTATCCCGGAGTGCTACAGTCAGTCTTTCGGGTATTCGGCAACTTGCTTATAGCGCTGATTACCAAAGTTGCAGAGCGAGTAAGGGCACTTTTTGTCATTCCAAGCGAAGTGCGATCGCGTAAAATAAACCACATTGGGATCATCAAAACTTAAAGGAAAAGTCGTCAAAGGAGATAACGAGGTATATTATTTTAGTGCTGATAAGTTAGGCTACTTTATGACTCAGACAAAACAACCTTTCTATCGATACTGTAAATCAACATATCTTTTCTACTTTACAGATAAGAGTCTCTTTTTATATAGATGAACTTAATGGGGTGAGTGCGCGCTTTCAATCTCACCCGGATGCTGCGGAAGTTGGTTGCTGGAATTGTTATGCCGGTGGCTAGCTGGTCCCATTAGGTGAAGAAAAAAAAAAGAGAACATGAATGAGTGGCATGCAAGCCTCAAGAACCAGCACAAAAACAAACAATGTCACAATGTATATTTTTTTCCAGGGCTAAAACGAAAAAAGCAGTCAAGGATACAACATCGTGCCCGGGGTTTTCTCGTTTTTTTTTCTTCCCATGGGAGAAAGCTGGGTCACAGAGTGGGATACCTGAAAAAGAACACTACTACCCTCCTCCGATCCTTGAAAATGCTTTCTTAATCACCGACAAATAGGCAAAGCGTAAATTTTTGCTTTCATATCCTTGAAACAGACAAGTTCTCAGTAGCCGCTGTAGTGGACTGTACAAGCCTGGTGAAATCATTTCCGGTCAATTTATACTACACGCTCAACACACAAGCCACCCTCAATCAGTTGTGCCGAGTCCTGGCTGATCCTTCTGAAGAATCGCAGACGTATACCGTGTCAGCGGAGCTCTTTAACAAGGCTGGATGGAAAGGAATACACAGTGGACATCTGGGATTGCTGTTCAATGTTGTAGATGAATACAACTTTGATTTCGTTTACCTTAGGTAAATCTTTTGCTCACAGACTTCCCAAAATTCACACAATGAGTTTGTTGGGGTTGCGGAAACCATTGTTGGTTCGCTTTGCGTTTTTCCATTCTTTTGTTTTACGTCATTAGGTGATTGCACCCGTCCACAACACCAAGAAACTACTGGAACGTTGTTGTCCTTGCTTTTCATGATTTAAACAGGATAACTCTATGAAAAGGAAGTGGTTTCATCCATGGTGTTGAAAAAGAGCGTTTTCACATAACGTCACGGCGGCCATATTGGTGTTCCATAACAATAAAACGGCGGCCATGTTGGTGTACCAAGAAAATCCTCATGGAGTTGAACTCTTTTCTCATGTAAATGCTTTAATCTTTTGTTCCAGTAAATTAGCATAGCTGCTGGACACGTGAGTGAAAACGCTCTATTATGAGTCACCTTCGTCCCCAGGGTTTTTTTCATGGTCCCGGGGGACGAGGTTGAATATGAGTCACCAGCATTATCGAGCATTATCATGTCAAGATAAAGTGTACAATTCATTGCCGGACCAGACCTTGAGATAAGGGGGGACCGGTCATCGAGACTGTTAGATAAGGGGGTTGGGAGGAAAAATTTTTCGGCCCTTCGGGCCTCATTTTGGTCCAAAAATAAGGGGCCCCTCCCCTGGACCGCCACTGCAGTTATTTGACTTTTTTTGCAAAGTGTAACACGTAACCTTGCCTGTTGCATAATGAACAGAGAAAAAAAAATCTAAATTTCAGTATGTGCTCACTTTCGTTTTCCTCCTTCCCATCAACCCAAATAAAGACGACTAAGGACGAGTCAGGGCCTGCAAGTCAACTAATCAAAAGCTATTGTAATGTATAATTTCGATTTTGTGAAAAAAACTAGCGAAGCGTCTGTAAAGTATATTACTCAGTTTTTCGCAATAGGACGGCAGGAAGAAGGGAATGGCAAACGTTTGTGTTTGACAAACCTAACAAGGCTATTACCTGCGTGTTTTGTCCTGACCTTCACTTAACATTAATGTTTTCTGGTCTTTTACAAAAAGATCTGTTTGAATGAAGGTGAAGTTTGGCGGAAGGTTTTTTTCGAACAAAATTACTGTTACGTTTCTCACACAAGGATTGCCGTCTTCTTTCCTTTCCCGTCCTATTGCAAAAGTTTAGTATTGGCCCAGAAAGGGACGTTTTTCTGTACGTATGCATCAGTTATCGAATTGATTTACTAATTGCAAAATATCCTACAACTTACTATTCAGACCTCACTCTTCCAGTGGATGTTATCAGACTGGATACATGGCCAGTGGCAAGCTGACGTTTGTGAAGAGTGCTGCGTGTTCTAATGGACCTCCAAAAGGTGGAGTCTGGTTCCCAGTCTCAGTCACGGTGAACGGCCAAGATGCACAAGTATACCACAGTGGGGTCCTGGTGGCGACCACCAAGCCTCATTTCCCTCCTAAGGCCTGGGGAGGAGTGTTCGCTTATAACGGTTACAAAAATGTGATCCTCTTCAGAAATTTCACAACTGGTCCTATCGTTCACGTCAGCAAGAGATGCAAACGCGTGGTTGACTTGCCAGGATACACTGAAGTGGATGCTGCCCACGGAATTTGGCCGAAAGATGGCTTCTGTCAAGTAGCTTACCTTAGAGACAGCAGTACATCAAGTTATCAGCTCTCAGTCGATATGTACAACTTCATGGGATGGCGAGGAGCCAACTCTGGTCACCTAGGAGTGTTTTTAAACGCCGAAGATCAAGACAACTATGACTTCGTCTATTTTAGGTTTGTTGCAATTTATAGACGCATAAGAGGGAAATTGTCGGTATGTTGATTTCAAACCAGAGCCAGAGCGGCAATCTCAATTTTTCAAAACCATCTTACGACCAGTTCTGTTTACGGAAATGATTTCAGGGTATTAGAAATTCTATAAAAAAGATGGGGAGTGCTGTATTAGCTGACATGCTCGTGACTCGGTTATGCAATAAGCCTTTTAGGTTTAGTCGCATTTCCTTAATTTTACTTATTGTTTCTTTTTATTTCCCAGGCCTCATTCATCCAGCTTATGTTTTCAGACGGGTTACGTTTACAAAGGTCAGCCAAAATTTGACGGAGCAAAGTCCGCCTCTTGCCCCAACGGTCCCCCCAAGGGAGCAGAATGGTTCAACATCAGGGTGGTAGTGTCAAAGAACTCCAATCCTGCCGGGGAAGGGAAGGTCTACCTGAAAGGAACATTGGTGACATCATTCAACCTTCGCTATCCAATCAGAAAACGTGGTGGTGTCTTGGTTGCCAATGGTTACAATAATGTGGTGTATTACAAGAACTTCAAGTTGTTGTAAGGAAGTTTGTTGTGTCAACATAAAGAACGGCTTCTTCAAACAAAGGCTTAATAACAGTTAGATTTAACAGGGCTAAAACCATATACAACTGTAGTGTCGATCACTTGTGGTTAGGCATCGAGGATAACAAGTTGCAGCTTACTTTCAAATGTTGTTGAAAGGATTAAAAAGAAAATATAAAGCCTTTGTGTAAAGCTCTGTGGAATCATTTGTCTTTTAGTGCAACTACAGATCACTATACTATATAGAGGAGAAGTGATGACCTCAAAAAAACAAATTTTGTGAAAATATGGGACTGGTTAGCATATACAGGAAAAACAAGATGAAAAATACCCAGCTGCTGAAAATCAGCCCGTTAGTGCAAATTGGTGGTGAGATATAAGTACTGTAATACTCTGATGACTTTCCACTGAATACTGCTAAGATTGACTTGGATCGTAAGCGTCCAGGCCTATTTTAGAAGGATTTATAATAATTGAACTAATCGGAGCATAACGGTGTGAAAAAAGAAAAATGTGCTTATTACCACTTTATGCAAGAATCTGTTAAAACTAACTTACGAAAATGATGGTTGTTACTTGCGGCTTTTTACTGTATCGCAGAAACCGCGAGTTACATGCACTTTCCATAATCGGTTTAAATTATCAAGATAAAAAAAAAAGATTTACAAGATTTCATCTTTACGGCAAGCTGCAAGCTGACAAAAAAAGTTTCAACTCTCGACACGATGTGATTAAACAATAATTCAAAAGATTTTGACTATGAGCGGAAAACAATCAATCGTCAAGCCAGCACGAACGTTTAATTTAATTAACACGATGGTCAGAAATAGGTGTTTTTCCTCCCACATAGGTCACAGAGACGTGAAGAATTTTCCAAATGGCATAAAACTTGGCAGGATTGTTGCTTGAGAGATTCTACATCTTTTGGTGGCAGTTTGACAGTCTTGATGGACATTGTGACGTCACAAATAGTTTCCAAATTTGGTGCCAAAATTTATAATTAAGAAAATCGTCAGAAAAACCACATAGAGGTGTTCTGTGATCAGAGTAAAGCTTTCCAGTGAAAACGCCGTTAAAATCCATTAAAACGGGACAAAGTTACAAGCTATTTGGTGACTGACATTAAAAGAAGGAATTTAAAGAATTTAATTGTTTTGTTACCTTATATGGTAAAACTTTAGGGAGGTTTCTAGTTCAAGACAATAAATGGAAGTTAAAAGAAAAATAGCGGATAACACAGTGGAGAAAATTTGTAGTTTTTTTGAATTTGGGACTCTATAGGTATTTTCACTTGTGACGTCATCAACACGTAAATATGACGTCAACATGGTATGAAATGACATAACATGGAACCTGACACCCCATCTCCCAAATTTAAAAAACTACAAATTTGCTTTTATGCATGGTTCGCTTAGTCTCCTTACTGTTCCGTTTAATAAGCTGGAGTTTAAATACCCCTAAAGTTTGACCATATATGGTTAATTCCATACATTTGGCGGGAAATTTAAAAATCTTTAGTTAGCTCTAACTTTGCAACAATTTAACGGATTTAAGTGGGTTTTCACCAGGAAGCTCCGTTTTTTTATAGACTTTATTTATAAAGTTATTTAAGTCAAATAATTAATTCCAAATTTTAGCGCCATGTTTCAACGTCACTTCTGACGTCATGCTGTCAATCAAAAATATAAAACTACCATCAATACATGTGGACTTTCTTTTACTATGTTCCTGCCAAGTTTCATCTCATTCGGAATATTTCGTAATCATCTATGTGTCTCTAATGAGCCATGTGGGACGAAAAACACCCATTTCTGACCATCGTCTTTAGCGGGAACTTCGCCTTCATTTCTTCCAAACTCTTATATTTGTTCACCATGTCGGTGAAGCTGGATTCGTCTTTTTCTCTTGCTCTTTCCGCCTAGTTCCTTGCTTTTTTCTATTCGTCANACAATAAATGGAAGTTAAAAGAAAAATAGCGGATAACACAGTGGAGAAAATTTGTAGTTTTTTTGAATTTGGGACTCTATAGGTATTTTCACTTGTGACGTCATCAACACGTAAATATGACGTCAACATGGTATGAAATGACATAACATGGAACCTGACACCCCATCTCCCAAATTTAAAAAACTACAAATTTGCTTTTATGCATGGTTCGCTTAGTCTCCTTACTGTTCCGTTTAATAAGCTGGAGTTTAAATACCCCTAAAGTTTGACCATATATGGTTAATTCCATACATTTGGCGGGAAATTTAAAAATCTTTAGTTAGCTCTAACTTTGCAACAATTTAACGGATTTAAGTGGGTTTTCACCAGGAAGCTCCGTTTTTTTATAGACTTTATTTATAAAGTTATTTAAGTCAAATAATTAATTCCAAATTTTAGCGCCATGTTTCAACGTCACTTCTGACGTCATGCTGTCAATCAAAAATATAAAACTACCATCAATACATGTGGACTTTCTTTTACTATGTTCCTGCCAAGTTTCATCTCATTCGGAATATTTCGTAATCATCTATGTGTCTCTAATGAGCCATGTGGGACGAAAAACACCCATTTCTGACCATCGTCTTTAGCGGGAACTTCGCCTTCATTTCTTCCAAACTCTTATATTTGTTCACCATGTCGGTGAAGCTGGATTCGTCTTTTTCTCTTGCTCTTTCCGCCTAGTTCCTTGCTTTTTTCTATTCGTCACTTCGTTCTTTGCGTTGGTGTGAGTAAATGAATCAGCTCTTTCCTGAAAAGCTTTACCAATATTCCCCCGTCCTTTCAGAGGTTTCTTCTTTTTGTTATCCTAAATAGCCGCTGGTAAATTGGCTTTCGCTACCGCAGGCTCATTATAGTATTTATTCACGTTTGAAGAAATGGGTGGAAACTTTCTTTGTTTTTGACGATCAGTTTTACCAAGATTTCGCTGAGCTGGTAGCTCCGCTGAAAATGTCCTCTTTTCGTCCGCGGCCCGAACTGTCCACGCGATCTTTGCTCGGTACCCTCTTCACAAATGTATTTCGTCCTGCCACGGTGATGCAGATTTCTTTAAGCCGTTTATCGTGAACATTGAGGGGAAGGTTCCGCACGCAAAGTTTAAAGCCAAAATGTAGAAACATTTCGTTCTTACTTAGAAGCAAACAAACGCGATGAGTGGTTTGTTATTAGTTACACAAACACGCGCGAATTTACGAAAAAAATTCCCCGTTATTATATGACGCGTAATGACTTGTACGGCCCCACGCGTTATTTCGTTGGAAAACCATACGGAAAAAAATCCTCTATGAGAACCGCAAGTGTCAAGTGATGGGGCCGGGGAAACGCTTACGGCTCTGCTAGAAAAGCGTATTGATCGACAGAAAAACTTAAAAACACAACGGTCATATGATAAAATGCTTATTGCTTATATCTGGCTCTCGGTCAGGACGACGGACCTCGAGTCAAATATTTTCCCGTTCGGCCCTCCCACTCAGTCAATAAGTACATATTATTTACGCGTGTTCGTACTGGTGGAATAGACCGCATGTAATAAAGCATGAGGGATGCGTGCTTTCATTAAATATGGAATTGTAATGAACTCAATTCGGCCAATAACAGCGCGAGCATTTTTCTCAAAATTTTACTCGCGGCTTTTTTGGGCTGATTTTGCTATCTATCAACCTCAAAACTGTACCAACACCAGAAAAAAATGAAATGAAAACTGAGGACTTAAATCAGACAAAAAAAAACTAGTTTAAAACTCCGTAGCCGAAATACCTGTAACTGAGGCAAAAATCACGAACATTAAACCCACCGAAATCAAAACCATGAGAGATCAATCCAATCACTGTTTCTCAAATATAACGATACAAATATTTTTTCAAATCGGCACTCTAAATCCCATGAAACTAAAGAACGCTTCTGACTCTAATAATTTCATGTTACCTTTTTTCGAGCATTGCAAGCTTTACCAATCTATTGGATATCTAATCACGCACAACCAACAATTGCATGATTCATTACCTCTAACAGAAGAGACCTTTAGATTCTAGGACGAGAACGACTACGAGTACGAGATTTGACTTAACGTTTTTTCGCATATTCTCAAATTATAGACAAGGAAAGCTTCATTGCACTTCTTTTTCACCCAAAAAATTAGCACTGTTATCTTTGCTGAAGGAGCTTGTGACATCTCCCGGCCACAAAAAATGATAAAAACTCTAAATTGTTTCCATTACCACGACAAAACTCGTAGTAGAATGACTACTGCAATCATGATTTTACCGCCAAAATGACGCTGGTTCATGCGTGAGCAGTATTTAGTATTGAGAAAATCTCGTACTCGTAGTCCTACTCGTCTCAGAATCTAAAGGTCTCTAAAAACTAGCATTCGAAACGGTGGCTGTTCAATCTTTTTCACGACAGTAAACGGATTTCATCATAGCAGGCACCCGCGATGACACGCAAGGCGTGGCTATCTTGCGAGATTTCCCGAAAATTGTGTACCGTAACGCTGGTGAATATGCAACACACACTTGTTTTAATTCCTTACATTAGAGACCTCTAGATTCGAGGACGAATTGAAAGAGAGTTTAAGCAAAGACGTTTCTGTACGAGGAACGTCATTCGGAAGGGGACTTTAATTGTTCCAGTAGAAAAAGGTTCTGCCTAAATTTTCATGGAAATCGTCTCTATAAGAGTAAAGACACTTAGCCATAAAAATTTGATAGCGTCAAGGCATATTAAAAGGAAAAAAAGGGCCTTATTTCCGGGTGACCTGAGTCGATCAATAACGCCTTTGCTTAAGCTCACAAACGTTTCTTTCGCGTATACANCTCAAATTATAGACAAGGAAAGCTTCATTGCACTTCTTTTTCACCCAAAAAATTAGCACTGTTATCTTTGCTGAAGGAGCTTGTGACATCTCCCGGCCACAAAAAATGATAAAAACTCTAAATTGTTTCCATTACCACGACAAAACTCGTAGTAGAATGACTACTGCAATCATGATTTTACCGCCAAAATGACGCTGGTTCATGCGTGAGCAGTATTTAGTATTGAGAAAATCTCGTACTCGTAGTCCTACTCGTCTCAGAATCTAAAGGTCTCTAAAAACTAGCATTCGAAACGGTGGCTGTTCAATCTTTTTCACGACAGTAAACGGATTTCATCATAGCAGGCACCCGCGATGACACGCAAGGCGTGGCTATCTTGCGAGATTTCCCGAAAATTGTGTACCGTAACGCTGGTGAATATGCAACACACACTTGTTTTAATTCCTTACATTAGAGACCTCTAGATTCGAGGACGAATTGAAAGAGAGTTTAAGCAAAGACGTTTCTGTACGAGGAACGTCATTCGGAAGGGGACTTTAATTGTTCCAGTAGAAAAAGGTTCTGCCTAAATTTTCATGGAAATCGTCTCTATAAGAGTAAAGACACTTAGCCATAAAAATTTGATAGCGTCAAGGCATATTAAAAGGAAAAAAAGGGCCTTATTTCCGGGTGACCTGAGTCGATCAATAACGCCTTTGCTTAAGCTCACAAACGTTTCTTTCGCGTATACACAGCTCACCATTATCCTAAAGAATCATTTCGCATCGAAGAAAATGGTTATCACCGAAAGATACAGATTCCTCAACCGTACACAACGCGAAGGCCAGAGTGTCACAGCGCTCGCTGCTAACCTAAAACATCTGGCTTCAACTTGACAGTTCGGTAATCACCTGAATGAAGCTTTACGCGATCGTTTCGTCTTTGGTCTTCGCAGAAAGGAGACACAAAACAAACTGCTAACTGAGGAACACACCTTCGATGCAGCACTGAAAGTCGCCCGCCCTCAGCGCCGAAGCTGCCGAAAAAGATGTTGCTGCATTTTCGCTCGATGCTTTAGCTTCTGTCAAAGCTAGAAAAACTAACTATATGAGAGAACGACTCAGTGAAGAACTGACAATTTGACTAACAATAGACGACTGTTTAACTGTGACAATAGACGGATCGAACGCACCAATTACTGACTACGACTCTTCATAGCCAATAACATCACGGCTTAACTGACAGACGACCAATAACATCGCGACGTAATTGACCAATCAGATCAATAACCAGAGTATAATTCCATCAACTGACGTCCTTCAGATATTTCGCCGCAAAACAATGGAACAGTATTCCAAATGAATTGCGTTTAAGAGCTGGAGGTCTAGAATTTAACAAACAAGTGAGGAACATTCAATTTTAGTTATCTAATTTTGTAATTTTAGATGCTAGATATTTTATATTTTTACATTTCTATGTACATTTTTTTTTTCTTTCTTTCTTAATATTGATTTGTGGAAAACCTGCAAAATAGCTTTAGATAAGTGTTTCTCCCACGTTAAATAAAGATTATGTTATGTTATGTTATGTGATACAACTCACTTTGACTTTGAAGATGACTACCGCACAGGTTGCCGAAACGTCACTCACTGTCAACAACAACAGTCCTATTCAGGACTACGTTTACCCGGACGATCAAACTCAACCTACTATTTAAAAATAATAATGATAATGATGAAATATAATAAAAAAATTAAAAAGATATATTTTATGATTAATAAAAAAGGACATAAGGAAAAATAACAACAGCAAAGAAAAAAAATTACAGTTTCGGCGGTACCGAAGCCCGAACGGAAGGTGTCGAAAGGGGAGGGGGATATATAATAGTCCCTGTTTAAAATTAATTAAAGCTAATGTGAAAGAAATAAAGTCGAAACAAGGATGTGTGGTTTCCCCTGGGAAGGCTTTTTAATTATTATTATTAATTTGTTGCTACACTATACGGAACGGGAATCATGTCCATTTGGCCGCAGCCTCTCGTGTAGTATTATTGTAAAGCTTTGTGTTATTAACTGAAACTGAGTTATCTAAATTATTTGAAAATATTTGTCTTTGTAAACTTTGCTCGGGTTTGCATCAAACGAACTCAAGGTCTGCGTGGGTGGTACTCCCATATATGGGCTAGACAGGCAAGTGTCACCCGATAATGTATGGCTTTTGTTAGGGTTTCCACCCTTAAATAGGGTATAGGTTTTGCCCTTGTTGGGGCTGTATTTGCAGTGTGATCCTCAGTAGGAGAAAGCACCTTGGAGTATTATAGGGAATGCTGGGAACGAAGGAAGTGCATTTTGCTAGTTTACTAACTTCCCTCGATGCAATGCGTTCCCAACAAAGTTGTCCCAGAGGTGACCTGGAACTGGTCTGATCATAATTAGCGCTAGAAATGGATTATTGCCCATTTATGTCGACAGGAAGAGTCGACGGATATACTGTAGTACTGTAGTAGTATACTGTAGTTTCTGAGGGGCGATTCCTTTCAGTTTTAATGATTTTTCACTTCTACTCTTGTATAAAATGATTCAGACCGTACTGCGCCGGTGGATGTTACCAGAATGGATACATGAAAGGTGGAAAGTTGACCTTTGTTCAGACTTCTACTTGTCCTAATGGACCTCCCAAAGGTGGTGTATGGTTTCCAGTCTCAGTCGCAGTTCACGGTCAAGACATACAAGTGTACCTCAGTGGGGTCCTGGTGGCGTCGATCAAGTCCCATTTCGCTCCAAGGACCTGGGGAGGAGTTTTCACTTTTCATGGTTACAAAAACGAGGTCCTCTTCAGGAAATTCCGAATTGCGCATCAAACGTACATCACTAAGAGATGCGCAAAGGTAGTGTGAAACACCTATGACACAAAAGCGGTACTTGACGCCAGTCAATGACACAATAAGAAATTAGTATCATCAACGACTTTGTGTTACAAAGCCATTCCAAAACCACTTGACGAGAAGTCTGCAAGTTCATTAAAGAAGAATCCCGATTTCTCGAACCCTCGGTTTTTTGAAATTTCGCGATAATTTGAACCAAATTAAACCTATAGATAACTTCTCCTCACCAGTCAAAACCCGATTTTTCGAATCTCCTGATAGTTCGGACTAATTTCCTCTTCCCAAGGTGGTTCGAAAAATAGGGATTCCTCTACACAAATAAACTTAAAAACGTGTTCTCCAAAAGTGGCATGACCAGTTTGGCTTTTATTAAATGCTGACTCATTTTGCTGCATTTAAAGGCTCATCAACAAGGCTGTAAAGAAGTCGGATTCTTAATTGCAATCTCTAGTTTCAATTTTTTATTCTTTCGACTCGGGTAATGTTTGATATCAGGTCGTAAGCACGTTTAAAAATCACTCAAATAGCTTTTAGTACACTCTAGTTGTTCTGCAAAGCTTCAAACATAGCACACACCACGCTCGGAACGGTCTCCTTAATTTATGGGTTTAATTTTACTTTTCCGACGAGTGTTCCTGCCTTCATACGGGAGTTTACCATCTTCCCCAAGAAGAGTGATGAGGAGGAATTTTCACACATGATTTTACTTCACGACATACACGTAATTTTTAATGTACGACGCCGGTTGATGAGCTACCTGGATACACGAAAGTTGATGCTGCCCACGGATGTAGGCCGCAGGATGGCTTCTGTCAAGTAGCTTACCTTAGAGACGGCAGTACATCAAGTTACCAGCTCTCAGTCGATATGTACAACTTCATTGGACGTGACGGAGTCAACTTTGGTCACCCAGGAGTGTTGTTAAACGCCGAAGATCAAGACAACTATGATTACGTCTATTTTAGGTTTGTTGCAATTTATACACGCGTAAGAGGGAAGTTGTCACTATTTTGATTTCAAACCGGAGCGACAATCTGAATTTTTCAAAACCTTCTTACGACCAGTTCCGTTTACGGAAATGATTTCGGAGTATTAGAAATTCTATATGAAGTTATGCAATAAGCTTTTTAGGTCTTATAATCGCATTCGCTTAATTTTATGTATTGTTTCTTTTTATTTCCCAGGCCTCATTCATCCGGCGGATGTTTTCAGACGGGTTACGTTTACAAAGGTCAAGCTAAATTTGACGGAGCTAAGTCCGCCTCTTGCCCCAACGGTCCCCCCAAGGGAGCAGAATGGTTCAACATCAGGGTGGTTGTGTCGAACTCCACTCCTGCCGGGGAAGTGAAGGTCTACCTCAAAGGAACATTTGTGACGTCATTCAACCCGCACTATCCAATCAGAAAACGTGGTGGTGTCTTGCTTGCTAATGGTTACAACAATGGTTGAGGTCACACTAGAGAAAGTTTACTATAGTAAACTCAAGTTTACCATAGTAAACGGCACCGTAAGTGTGACCGGCATTTTTCAGTTTACTATGGTAAACTTTACCCTGGTTAATTTCCATGACTACCGCGGAAAGAACAAAGATGACCCATCACCGATAACCATCTGGTTACCAAAAAAAATAGGTGGGTATATCTCTAGTCTATCTAAACTTTGTTTCTCATGATTTTTGAGGAAAGTAGTTTCAAAAAGGGTCACATAACAGAATAGCTTTAGAACATCGGTGATTGTGTTTATTCGCGTGGATTCGCGTGCAGTACAGTGCGATTGAACTTTGTCAAAGCAGCCGAACTGAAAGAAATTATTTCGACAGGGAATTTAACATAGCAGAGTTTTCCTCACTGGAAGGGGCAAGGTAAGGAAAAGTTTTTTTACTTTAATTAATTGCAGCATTTCAGATTGTTGTTTGTTACACTGCGAACCGACTAGGTAAAAAGGAGCTCAGCTTATTGAAACATTATTTTTATGTAGCCTCGAAAATGAAATATATAAAAGCGTGTCCAAAAAGTTGTAATATGCAACTGCGAAATCAACGGGATATCTTGCCTGCTTAAAGGATTTAGGTTATAACAATTACGCAAGTCGGTGAGGACAGAAAAAGCGCGCCAAAATTTAGCAGCCATGAAACACAACTGCTTATGGAACAGGATCAAACGGGTAATATATGAAACAAAATTCTAAAAGTAATGCAATGTAGTTCAGCGACGACCACTGAGAAACCTGAAAGTGACTGTATGAAGACCTCTTTTGCTTTTCATCTTTTTCAGACCTCCAGCTCCACGTGCTTTGAATAGCTCGTTTCCTTTTATTATTCCGCCACCCGGTGATTCACCGATACATCCACGGCCAGTAGGTCCAGTGCTGTTCGGTATGCGTCAAGATGCTGCACAACGGTGTTTTTCCTACCGAGAAATGCTTGGTGGGCCATGTAACGTCTCCAGTCAGCCATCAACGTTTACCCCGACCGAAGATTTGTCCATGCAAACAGCCTCGTCATGCCAAGCCTCCACAAAACAAGGGAACCGAACTCGCTGGAGTGATGGCGAAGTAAAAATTCTGATCACAGTTTACAGCCAAGAGTACGAGCAACGACATCGGGGGAAAAGCCTTGATGCAATGTGGGACAGGATTGCAGAAAGGGTGAACAGCGAGAGTGTAGAAATTAATGCCTTTTCTGGAGAGAAAACAGCAAAAAACTGCCGTGACAAGATGAACAACCTTAATAAAAAATATAAAAATGTCAAAGACAAAAGCAAGTCCACTGGTGAAGGAAGCGACGAAATAAAAAGCTTTCCCGAGTTCACAGATTTAGACGAGCTGTGGGGAACTCGCGACACGGTAACGAACAAGTACGTGGTAGAGGCAGGCTCTAATGATCAACCCATCGATGAAACCAGCACAGAAGGAAGTGACCATGATCAAAGTGAAGAGGAAGACCTTAGTTTGACGCGCCCCTATCCTCCAGCCTCCGTCGAAAGCGTAAACAGCCACTGAAAGAGGCTCAAACAGCCCCTCCATTAACACCTGTTAACAAAAGAAAGCGCAAAACGATGTCCAACGAGGCATCATCATCAGCTTCATCGTCGAGCACACCATCACCACCACCACAAGCAGCACAAAAGGAAAGAAAGGTAAAAAAAGCAAAGAACGCAAGGCAGTGGCTGATGAGGATGAAGATGCATTCAGAGAGTTTTTAAAGGTGCAGACAGAATATACCAAACGGAGGGAGGAAGAAAGAGCAGAGCTTTTTTCCTATCTGAAAAAGTCCGATGAGCAGACACACCAGTTAATGATAAGCGCAATTAGAGAGCTAGGAGAGGCCCTTAAGGGAGGAAATTCCTCTAAAAATCCATAGTAATTCAACTTATTTCGTTCTGTTTCATTTCAATTGTACAGCTAGTTCACTCATGGAAATAGCATATTTTTTTCTATATATTTCTATATATTCTTAGGTGCTTTTTTTCATAACCTACAACTAAGATAGAATTTCCTGGTCGACTTTTCGAAGCTATATGCGCCAGGTTTATTAATTATAACCGTACATGTCAAATAAGTATTAAAACTCCCTTACTCTAACTTGATGTTGTGTCTAGTTGTTGGCTAAAAAGTCGGTCAAGGCTTGGCGAACAAGTCGACCTTGTGCATTAGCGTTAAGCCCAGGGGGAAGGGGAGCACTACCACCATCACCATCATCGTCGTCATCATCGTCGTCTGATTCATCATTCTCTAATGCGTCCCCTCTAAGTAAACAGATGTTATGTAAGATACAGCAGGCTAGGATAGTTAAGGGTACTTTTCCTGTACCTTCCTCGAGTACCTTCAACAAACATCTCCACCTGCACTTTAGTTTGCCAAATGCTCGTTCTACCACCACCCTGCTTTTATTCATGGCCTTGTTAAATCTCGCTTGATCTCGTGTTAGGGTGGCGGATTGCGGATAGGGGCCAATGAGCCAAGATAACAATGGGTAAGCTGAATCGCCAAGTAGAAGGGGTCTTACAGCAATTCCTTCAATAGACTTTTCTGGCTCGGATAAGATTTCGCCATTCGTTGCCTTTCTGTACAATGAGCTTAATCTCAGTAACCTGGCATCATGCATACTGCCTGGCCAACCAGTGCTGACGTCAATGAACATACCCGTTCCATCAACAGTTCCTTGTAGATTTAAGGAGTAGTTTTGTTTTCGATTAAAATAATCCTCGTGGCAAGTTTTGGGGGCTTTGATTTGTACATGGGAGCCGTCTATAGCACCAATAACGTTTGGCAAGCCAGCAATACTTTTCATTCTTCTGATTGCTAAAGTTACATCTTCTTCATCGACTGGAAATTTGATAAACACATCTTTCCTTCGAATAATCGCACGTGTAAACTCGTTGCATATTTTAATAACTGTCGATTTTCCTAGCCCAAAAGTAATCCCAGTTGTTCGGTAAGAGTTTCCTGAGCCAAGTCGCCACAGCGCAACTGCGACTCTCTTGTATACAGGTACGGCTTTTCTCAGTCTAGTACCTTCTTTCTGCAAGTCTCCTTCAATCAGCTGGCAAATATAGTCAAATGTATCTCTGGTCACCCTGAAATGCTTTTTCCACAGTGCTTCAAGGTTTCTGTTTCTGTACATTTCTTCAAACCATTCTTGGGGTCGGGGGTAAACCCACGCTTTCCTTCGCAATGCCGCTCTTTCTCTAAGAGTACGTCTTCGATGGGTAATCAATGAACCTGTCGATCACTTAAACATCTTCACTGACTTCGTATTCGAAACCAAGGTAGGTAATAAGGGAGCGCATTCTTCTTGCTCGTCTGAGCAGCAGAATTAAAAGCAAAATGCTCACAACAGAAAACAATACTCTCTCAAATTGAACCNGGGAGCGCATTCTTCTTGCTCGTCTGAGCAGCAGAATTAAAAGCAAAATGCTCACAACAGAAAACAATACTCTCTCAAATTGAACCATCTTTGTACACTTGTGAGGGTCACGCTCAAGAAGTTACAGTTCAGTAATTTCAATTTAGTCAGCTGTCATAGCATGTCATCATTTGTTTTACTTATCACTCTCACGTTACCGATCACGCGAGAAAAAACGCCTGGAAAGTTTCAAATGCCTTTTTAATTGGACCTGTTAGGTTTACTACGGTAAAAAAGACGTTACGAGACTTACCATAGTAAAGCCCTTTTTACCATAGTAAAGTCTCTAGTGTGACCTCAACCAATGTGGTGTATTACAAGAACTTTAAGTTTTTATAAAGCAGTCAGTGTTTCTTCAATTTAACAAAAGGCTTTTTATATTAAGCAAAGAAAACATTGGACTAGATTTATAGCTCGTTTATCACTTAATAACTTTCTGTTCTAAAATATACTTTTTCTACTTATGTCATAGTCAAAAAACAATAAACGGACAACATTTGTCAAAAAACAGTCTGAGTTTGTGTGGATTCATTTGCAACATACGCGTATAGCTCTCGCATTTCCCGCTGAATTAAATTTTTTTATTGTTTTTAGGCTTAAAAACGATAAAAAATTCCAGCGGGCAAATGCGACAGCTATACGCGTAAGTTGCAAATGAATCCACCAATTATAAGTAAGCAAGTTAAAATTGAATATACTTATCATCCTAAAAAGCCAATTACCAAACATCAGTAACTGTAGGCTCTTAGCCAATGAGAAGGCAGGTACTTGGTACAATGTCTAATAATGGCAGTTAATGGTTAAGTCCCTGTTGGTGCCAGCAGTCCAGTTGAGTTTACCCTGGGTACCAGAAAGCTTCGTAGGCCACGGGCCGATACGCCTTTATTATAAGGACTTGACCAAAACCAGAAACTGCGTATGAAAAGCCTCTGCCACCCGGGGTAATTTGAGATTCGAATCTCGACAAATCTGCGACCTCCCCCTCGGAAAACTGACTCTTCTGCACGCGTTTAGTAAGCTAACCAGGCGTAACCAACACGTGTTAACGCGCGCGTTTAGTACTGGCGCTAGGTTTTCACTGGTAAATGGAATATACTAGAAGGATTGTTTCAGTAGAGATGTTCATTATGTAAGAAACGTCTAAGCTACAGTTTATTTGCTTCATTGCCCCGACTATTCAGAAAAGCATGCGTTACATCTCGCTAATTGTGTTGGCTTTTTTGTTGGCGAAAGTTGGCTGCGCAAAGAACCAATGTTCGGTAGCCAAGGTCTGTGGCGCACTAGATAACGTCTCGCGGCAGCAAGATCTAATTGGAAAAAAAGTTAACGCGATAACTTGGCGGCAGTTGTTCTGAAGCGGGTGAGTTTCACGAATGTCTTTAAATTTCTTTCTCATTCAATGCCCATAAAAATTCGAGGAGTCTACAAGTGTACATATTAAATTTGGTGTAACTTATACTGACTTTTTTGTACAAGAGTGATCTCAATATATTCATCGAGGCAAATTTTTATTCCTCTGAAGTAACCTTATGGAAGATCTTGACGATTTATCATATTTTTCGGTAATACTTTTAGGCCTTAAACTGCTTGAACAGCTAGGTTGATCATCAGATTTATCGCGGCATCGTTTACAGGATCACATCCATCAATCATGTGAATAATTTCATTCGCAGTTTATAGATGAACAGATTTATATATTTATTTCAATTTGAAAAATTGAGGTAAGCTTATATTTGGCATGTACTGACAATTTCGGACACTATAATGACAAAAAAAGAAGTCATGAACTTATTAAGTTGTTTTGAAGTTAAGACCACTATCAACAAAGGGATTTTTTCAAGTGAAGGCTGATGGAAACCACATTAAAAAAATTGAACCTGGCGAAAGATAGCGCTTAGTTGTATAGGGCTCGAAGAGTGATCCTGCCTTTTGAATCTAAATACGGTGGCCAATTTACCTGGTAATCAAATCGGCATAAAAGAAACAAAATTATCAAAATAGTCATGTGTAAGGTTGGCAAATAGAGCTGATCACTATAAAATGTAAAATAGGCTCAGTGGAAGTGGAAATCAAACATGAAAATATGACAACTTGACGGTGGGTCACAGCTCAATGAGCCGCAACTATATCTTCTTGTCTAAGAGCTTAACATCTTTTCATTTTCTTGTTTTTAAAAAAAATTATTGAGTCATTTCCAGCTCTAAGTCTCTGATGAAGAAATTTGTCATTTAGAAAGCGCATTTACAGTAAGGCACTCACCTCACAGTGAAGGACGGAGGCAAATACCACTTCAGTTGCGAGTTTAGGGTTGATGAATTATTAAAATGCCCTCTTCGGTCTAAATGCAAATGCAAAAACATACTGTCTTCAAAATAAAATGAAGTGTAACAAGGCAAAATTTTCTTCAGAACTTATCGTCAAATAGTGATATGGCAGGAAATAGATTTACACGAATAAACTCCGCACCCACTTAGAACAAGGCGTTGTTTATTCTAGGGTAGAGGGAAAAAACTAGGTACAACTTTTTAGTTTTCATAGTCTATCACAATCCAGACAATTTATACGATTCTACCTAGCTGTTTTGCCCTGAAGATTCTCTCTTGGTTTTGCATAATACAGTACGTAGAACCCTGGTAACTGGAACTGTGAAGGGAAAAAAAACAGTTGCAGTTAGCGAGGGTTCGAGTCATCGAGATCGATTGAATCTTCAATTTCCCACTTTACTATTGAATGTTTACTGACATTTCAGCACTTCAGTATACAGCAGATTGCCAGCAGAAATTGTAACGCGATTATGCATTTCTATGATAATACACTCGGGAAATGACTGCGAAATACGTGATCCGTTCGTTGCACTTGGTATAAAAAAATGATGCAGTGTTAATTTTAGGAATTGTATCGATTGCACGGCAAGAAAAAGCTAATGGATGGCATCCTTGGTGAGTTCCAACAACCAGAATTCAGGGGCACCCACCAATTTTTTTTTTGTAAAATATCTGTTCGGAGAAGCAAATATTGCCTAGAATTTTCTATTACTTGAGGACGGCTACAAATTTCTAGATGACCGTTCCATTCATGTACAATTTTCGAAGCCTATGTAATAAATTCCTACGATTTTCTGAAGTTTAATTTTCACATTTTACTACCCACGAGAGGCTATTTTTTGTATTCGAAAATGTGATGGAGAGAGGAATCAGGAAAATTCTTACTTTCGTAATAAGTTAAATTGCATCTAAAATTTTCGGGAAAATAATACTGAAGACCTTGTAATTTCGAAAAGACTCAAGTTCCCCTAGGATGACCGAACAGATACGAATTTTATAGCGCCACTTAGAATGCATTTCTAGATATCTAAAAGTGCCCTGGATAGTCTAAAAATTGTTTTCAATGAATTTAGGAGGAAACCGTCGTTGGGTGCCCCTTAGATTTCGAGTTATCGAGGTTAATTTTGGTCAAAAGAAACGAAATTTAGTTCGAGTTAGCGGGGAATTCGAGTTATCCGAGTTCGAGTTATCCAAAAAAGAAATGAAAGTGACTGAAAAGTAAGGTCAAATCCAACGGAAGTGGGGCTTAGTTGGACGGTAAGCGGGGAGTTCGCGTTATCCGAGTTCGAGTTACTGGAGTCCCGCTGTATTTACAAAAGATTGACCCTAAGTGTCTAATTTTATTATCAGTAATTTTAAAAATGGATTTCTGAAATAAATATCGACCCCCAAGATAAGCTGCCGAGTTTTTCGAATAAATGCGGTATAATTATCAGCTCCTTTTGTAAGCGGTTCAATTAATTATTTACTTCCTATCTTTTTGGGGCCAATTAGGTCATTCGCGGACAGAGAGAGATCTTATAAATTGTACCGATTTCCTCCAACTGTATCCGAGTTAAGAAACGAATACAGGTCCAATTCAGTAAATAGCTTTTCATCGTAAATAGAAGATGTGCTAGCCGTAGCTTTCAATAAGAGCGTCACGGAGCGAAAAATTTTAAAGCAAGGCGGGGTTTTCCGAAGTGTTTCGTGTTCGGTAAACATGTCCTTAGGAAGTCAATTGTTTCCAACTTGCTCGAATTTTGCGGCTATAAGTTTCATCGGTGGATTTACGCGGCGTAGTCAATCGAACGAAACCGAACCAAAAATCAGCCTTTATCCATCGCTTTATCCATCAGATTGCTTCCAGGATTGTAGTTTTACGCTCAATTGTTTTAATTTTCAATTTCAATTTTATTATTCACACTTTATAAAATATTTACATTATATATAGTAAGGTAGGGATACACTAATAAAGGAGAAGAAGAAGGAAAAAAAAAAAGAAAGTAATGGCTTGGGTAGAAGTGCACGGTGGTCAGAGAAGCTTAGCTTTCGAGCTAACCACCGCTATATTATGATTGGAAATACATAATAAATGTGCGCTTGGTGCCATGACAACTATGGACGATTATGCCAGCAGTCAGGTTATGTGAGACAGTCATATTACAATTGTTACCTTTGAGAGTTAACTAGAATTCGCTTATATTCTTTTTTGAACTTATGGTAGCTAAGTGTTTTTATCCTAGTAGGAATCTCTTCCCAAGTTTTGGTTAATATGGCAAACTTAAATGTGTGTTTGCCGTAATTTGACCTTACACGTGGTACATGAAAGTTAAGATTTGAGGCATATCTGGTATTGTGTGAGTGAGTAGCAGACACCTTTACGAGGTAGTTTTGAAACACTTCAGGGATATTGACTTCATTTTGTGAGATTTTGTGAGCTAGCAAGGAGGTTTTGAGTTTAAAAATGCTATTTATGTTAAGTATATCTAGAAGTTTGAGTTAGGGTGCATTACTTTCTCTATTACCGTAAAGTTCCGATAGTAACGACCCCCCGAAAGTAGCGACCTCCCGAAAGTAGCGACCCCC